TATTTTTCAAATGAGATAAAAGTTTCTTTGTATAAAAAGAAGATGCATCGAATTAGGTGCTAAGAGAGTATTAAAAAAAATCCCAAAACGAGCACCATTCTATTGCGGGACAATGCTGTCACCGCATTATTGCTGCCGCCGCTTTTTGTCAACCATGTCACTCTTATTATTATTAGCATTATTATAACGGGACATCTTATATTTATAAATGTTTTTGTTTATAATTTTTTATAATTTATATTATTTTCTTTCGGAAGAACACTGATTACACTATGTTCTATCGAGAGAAAATAATATGATTTATAAATATTTATAAAAAAAATTTATAAACGGATCATTCTACTATTATAAAAGGTCATACTTTATTATCGCTAGATACTGTGGGTTTCAATTTTAACAATATACATTTTTTGTCTTAGAAAATTATGCTCTCAGTTTTTTAAATATTTTTATTTAAAATAATAAATAAAACAACAAAGTTGTTTGTTTTTTAATCTGGCTGAACTATTAATGAAGAATCTACGGTTGATATTATATGTACATAAATAGATTTTTTTAAAACTCATTTTTTAATTTTTCATCAATCATAGATTTTATTTAAAGCAAACAGGGATATTAAAATGGGCCAGACTGCCCGATTAAGTCTAACTTGTATGGTTAGAACCAAAGAGTCAGTACAATCAATGACACACAATAATAAAAAGGTTTTACTTCTCTCACGTTGTATGAGAGAAGTTATCTCATGTTGTGAGATAAATTAAGTGGGGCTCACTAATTTAAAATAAAAAAAAATGAGACACGTCTTTTTATGTGAGTATAAAATAAGAGATGAATCTTATGTAACATAAGAGTATAATTTCTCATAATAAAAACACATAAGCTTTTCACCAAAAAAAAACACATAGAAGCTAAAAATTATATGAGTTAGGGTAAGTTCACGGGCAATTCAAATTTAAAATTAAAAAAGAATATTGGATTCAATGCATTTAAAATTATTTTAATAAATAAATATTTTACATTTTTATAAAATATTCTACACAAAATATAATCATAAAGAGAGAAATAAATATCTTACACTTAACATAATTTAAAACAAGAACTAAAATAAATACAAAAATTATTATTGAATCGTTAAAATATATTATATATATTATATAAAATTATGTATAAAAAGTATAATTTTATTATTATATTATGTTTATAATTTACTTTTTTATAAATATTTAATTTTTATTATTATTTTAAATAACAAAAATTTTGATGAATGAAAAAATTAGGCCCACAAATTAACCTTAAGCCAACCTGTTAAACCATAGGACTTTAGAGACTAGGGTTAAAATAGACTCTACCACAAAATGAGTTTTGTGGTTGTGGGTTTGGGCCAAAATTAAAATTTTATGGATAAGCCTGTGTGTTACAGTCCATTTTAGCACTTCTAAAAACAAAAAACTAATTTTAAATAAGGAAAATCCTTATTTTTATATACTTTTATCATATTTTATTCAATACATCATACCAAACCTAAAATAAGATTGAACAGTACTATATGCATACAGACATTATCTTATATTTTTACATTTTTCACCATTTAATTTTAATTAATTTCATTTTTTTTAAAAAAAACTTGTCTCTCATTCGTATGCTTTTGCAATGTAATTTGATCTCAGTTTATTCATTTTTGTAGTGGTAGGATTGTAATTATCTAACTTCAGTGATGGCAATTCGGTAAATAAATGGAACTTCTTTTATTGCCTCACTATCTCAATTTCTCTTCTAAATTCATACGCTCAAATGGATTTGTAGTCATGGGTGTTCCACATATAGGTTTGTTGAGATATATAAAATCATTAATGTAGTCTCACTCAAAAGTTTAAGTTTTTGGGTTGAATTAGTTCTTTACATGGTATCAGAGCCTCGTGTCCCGGGTTCGATCATCGTTGCCTCCCACTTTCTTTCAAGTGGGATTTCATTGTTCGCACAGGTAGGTGGGCTTGTGCATTGTCCACCCTTCTAACCCAGTGAACTCTTGTGTGAAGAAGCGTGTTGAGATATATAAAACTATTAATGTAGCATCACTCAATTAGTTCTTTACGAAGTTCAATAATATGTTTTTGAAATAAACCAACCAGACACATTTTTTAGTTATTTAAGAAGTAATTAGTTATGCTTGGGAAACAATTTTCAAAAATAGAAAATCAAATATAGAAGCAAACAGGCTTTATAAACTATTGTTTTGATTATTTTTTTTTTTTGCAGTTGGTGCATTTCAAATAGGCTAATGACTTGCACATTCCATAAGTATATTAGTCATACAAATAATAAAAAAGTGAATAAAATATCATTTCTACGAATATTAAGATTGAAGCATTAATTTACTATTTTTACTTAAATATAATTTAATATTTTGAGAATAAAATATTCCTCCTTAATTAAATTACATTACTCATTACCAAAAAAATTGACAATACTCAAAAGTCAAAGGAAAAAAATATTCTTATGTTACATGACATAAGTTTTCTCTCCTACACATCCTTCGATAACTATGTCATTTTTTTCTTTTCTTTTCTTTTATATTTTTATGTAGTGGAGCGCATTAATTTATCTCTATGACATGAGATAACTATCTTCTTTAACAATGAGATTAATAAAATCCAAAGTCAAAAGGCACATAATTAAAATCTATTGATTTAATTGAGTTATTCATTTGTCACCCATAGATTATGCTGGGTGACACGGGTTAAAATTAGTTCCATAAGAATGAGAGGCTAACCACTGTACTTGTACTCTCCTAGGCTAAGCGTGCACGTACCAATAAAAATTGAATCCCTTCCAGTAAAGAAAGTAACCTCATACACCTTATAAAAAAAAAAAATTACTTATTCCATATTTGGTTTAGAACAAAATATGACTTGAAATATGAGGTTATTTTATAAAAATAACCCCAAACTATTTTTACTTTTGTAATTGATAGATTGGATCTAGATTTTTATGTGTAGTGGGGTATTTTTGTCTCAAAATTTATTGTTGTGCTTTCCCTTTACTTGGTATTCTGAATTACCATATTATTTTTGGTAATCTGAATAGTGACTTTTCTTTATAAATCAAATTACCGATAATCCTTGAATATCCGAGAATTGTAATTTATTCCTTCTACCAAACGTGGTAATTACATTTACCAAAGAAGGATTACCGGTAATCCTCTCCAAAAACTTGAACCAAACACCCCTACTTGTACTCTCCTAGGCTAAGCGTGCACGTACCAATAAAAATTGAATCCCTTCCAGTAAAGAAAGTAACCTCATACAGCTTATAAGGAAAAAAAATGAAGTTAAGCAATTCCATATACCAGAAAAAAAATTAAAAATGATGAGTTTTTTTGGTAATTCATTGAAATTGAGATATTGGAAAGCAGAATGTTGCCTTAAAATATATATTTTTTGCAATCATTGCTTATTTAATATAAAGAACAATTGTTTGATAAATTTTTTATATTTATATATTCAGGATAAGATCGATTCAAGTAAAGAAAGAAAATGAACTCTCTACCGAAAAAAGAAAAGAAAAAGAAAATGAACTCGTACACCTTATAATAAGGAAAAAATGAAATTAAGATAAAAAAAAAAGGAAAAAATGAAATTAAGTAAATCCATAAACGAGAAAAAATGGAAATAATGATTTTTTTTGGTAGTTCATTGAAATTGAGATCTTGGAAAGTAAAATGCTGCCTTAAAATACTCATTCATTTGGAATTTTTTCAAAATACAATTTATTTATTTTTTGAAAACGTGTCTTGCGGGTTCACTCAAAGCCCGTAGTGCGGAATCACCACCAATTGGCTGGATCAAGTGAGTTTGATATTCTGTCTCAATCCAAAATCTTATCACATTGGGTTTATGAGTTCTCTCACTTCTATAGACTTTACTTAACTCATTACCAATCAAAATAAGACTCATCACATTTGAATAATCCAACAATTTCCATTTCAAGTATGAAACTCAATATTGGTATGCTCTCTCTCAACTAAGTACCTAGACCCAAAGTATGACATTGGGTACATGGATCCTCCCACTGATATGGACTTCACTTAGCTCATTATTACCAACACAATGTGGAGCTCTAAACAGCATTTGTTTGATAATGTTTTTAATATATTTTTTGTAGACATGTTTTTAATATTTATTTAGGAAAAATCAAATCAAGCAAAGAAAGATTTTAACCTCATACAGCTTATAAGGCAGAAAATGAAATTAAATGATTCCATAAACGAGAAAAAATTGAAATAATGATTTTTTTTTTTTGGTAATTCATTGAAATTGAGATTTGGGAAAATATAATGTTTCCTAAAAGTAGTCATTCGTTTGGATTTTTTTTCAAATTAATTTTTTTTTTTTGCAGTAAATGCTTATTTTCTATAAATAACATTTGTTTGATAACTTTTTTATATTTATTTATTTAGGAAATAGTCGATTCAAGTAAAGACAGAAATTAACCTCACACAGCTTATAAGAAGAAAAAAATGAAATTAAGCAATTCTATAAACAAGAAAAAAATTGATATAATGTTTTTCTTCTTTGGTAATTCATTGAAATTGAGATTTTGGAAGGTAGAATGTTGCCTGAAAATAATCACTCATTTGGAATTTCTTTAAAATAAATAATTTATTTATTTATTTGCTATAAATGCTTATTTTTTATTTATTTAGATAAAAATAGATTCAAGTAAAGAGGAAAAGTATCCTCAATACAGCTTATAAGGGGAAAAAAATTAAATTAAGTAATTCCATAAAATGAGTAAAAAAATTGAAATGATAATTTTTTTTGGGTAATTCATTGAAGTTGAGATTTAGAAAATAGATTATGGCCTTAAAATAGTCATTCATATGGAATTTTTCCAAAAAAAAAAAAAAAAAAAAAATCCCTCCCACTGCCCATATATATACATGTGTCGCCCTCCTCTCGTTGTTGTACCTTTGGTTTGTGAAAGTGTCTGTCCTATTGCAAATGGGATCAAGCGCTGCCACCGTTTCACTCTGCCCTCCATCAAAGATGCTGAAAGATGAAAACAAGTTTCAGACTTACGACTTCAACTTGCTGCAAAAGGAAGCACACATACCCGAAGAGTTTATTTGGCCATCAGGGGACTTAATCAAAACCACTGAAGAAGAGTTCGATGTTCCCCTCATTGACTTAGCTGCCATCATCAATGGTGATGATGATGAGGATGGTATTGCTACTGCTGCTGAGATTCTGAGGAAGGCATGTGAGAAGCATGGCTTCTTCCAAGTCATCAACCATGGTGTGGACCCACATCTCATCTCTTCTGCTCATCAAGAATTTGACTCCATTTTCAAGCTTCCCTTGGACAAGAAGCTCAGTACTCTGAAGAATGCCACAGGCTACTCAGTTGCTCATGCAGGACGGTTTTCTGCCAGTTTGCCATGGAAAGAGACATTTACTTTCCGATACAAACACAAGAACGATTCTGATTCACAAGTTGTTGATTACTTCAAGTCTGTCTTAGGAGAAGACCTTCAACACACCGGGTATATATATATATATATATATATATATATATATATAGTCCACAATGAATTAATCTCACCATTATTTAATGTTGTCCAATTTCGTTCCAATTATATTGTTACTATGGCCCACTAATTGAAACCATAATCTGTTCTTAATTAACAAAGTTATATTAAAGTATGGGTTTGTTTTCTATGATATTACCTTATATAACTTTATCTAATGTTCATCAAAACGACGTCGTTTTGGGACGGAAATCATGGTATTTTTGTAATTTTAATTTATTTCAGGGTTATAATAGTCTTTATAACTCTAATTTTTTAATTTTTTAACCCCAAAACGACGTCGTTTCAATGAACATTAGATAAAGTTATCTAAAGTAACATCGAAATTTTTTTTCCTTAAAGTATTCATAAATTACTAGCCTAATACGGCCCGAAGGTGGAGTTTATTATCCTTGCTGAATCTGGAAAAAGTTATACTTACAATTTTTTTTTATAATCTCTTATAATTATTTTTTAGTATTGAATCAAAATTAAATCTCTGATTATAAAATAATATTAGGTGAGAGTCATTCATTTGATTTTGATTCAATGATAATGAAAATGATTGAAAGAGAAAATAAGTTGTTAATATAACTTATTTTTTAAAATTTACTGTTTTCTCTGTTAATTTTTTTTTTTAATTTCCTTGAATAACATTTTTTAATTAATTGGAATAGGTTGGTGTATCAAAAGTACTGCGAAGCAATGAAGGAAGTATTTCTGGCAATTGCGGAGCTATTGGCTATTAGCTTGGGTGCTGATCGTTCGCATTTTCAGAAATTTTTCGAAGATGCAGAGTCAATAATGCGGTGCAACTCTTACCCTGCTTGCAACAGTCCTAGCCTCACATTTGGCACTGGCCCTCATTGTGACCCAACCTCAATAACCATTCTTCATGAAGACCAAGTTGGAGGTCTAGAAGTTCTTGTTGATAACAAATGGCTCGCTGTTCGCCCTCGACCTGATTCCTTCGTCATAAACATAGGTGACACTTTCAAGGTATGTAAACTAGTCATTTTTTCTCTTTATAAACGTTTGTTACTTTGTTAAATGGATTAGGCCGGCCTATAAAGTCTTACGTCCTAGCCTATATTATATTAAATTTGACCTATTACAAATAGTCAAACAGTATATGTTTAGATTTTTAAAAAAAATTATTTAGAAAGCAATCATAGACTTTTTTGGTACAGGTCGGATCTATATATAACCCTACAAGCCAGCTTATATCATATTATTTATTTTAAATAAAATAAATAAAATTATTATTTTAATAATTTTGAATAATAAAATAAAATAATTATTTTTTTACAAATAATATAAAAATAAGATTGTGTATAATCGACCATCGTCATCATCCTTATCCTCTTAAATTGGTGATCCTTGTACACGTGAGTTTACTCTTTTCCCTTTTATTGCATTTTATGAGATAGTGATAATGATGAAATGAATGGTGTGTTTGGTTGTCTTAGGTGTTGTCTAATGGGAGATACCAGAGTTGCCTGCACAGGGTATTGGTGAATAGAGAAGTGGAGAGGAGATCTCTGGCTTTCTTTGTGACCCCAAGAGGAGACAAAACAGTGAGACCACCAGACAATCTAATTGGCAAAGAAGAACCGAGGAAATATCCTGATTTTACATGGTCAGAATTCTTTGAATTTACTCAAAAGCATCACAGGTCTGATGCTGCTACTCTTCAAGATTTCATCAAGTGGCTTGGCGCTTCCAAGCCATCCAACTTTGAATGACTTTGGATTTCGGATGCTAATGAAGATTGCATTTGGATAATGATTCCTATATGCATCTTCTTCAGTCAAATGGGTACCAGCAGAAGCAGAAGAGCCTCTTCTTAATCAGCTATATAATTTTCTTGTGTACACTAGCCAACTAGCACAATATCCTGTTTTCTGTCTGTATTCTATGCCCACGGCAGAAAAAATAAGGGATATTGAGTTTCCGTACTAATCATACTGTACGGATTATTATATCTATGATTAAATTAAAATAATACTGTGTACAGTGTACACAAACAATATATGAATAATGAATTTCGATTTCTGGTGTGTGTATCACTGCATTTATTTTATTTGTAAATATTAAGATAACCACACTATTTTGCTTTATATACATTTTCATCTAACAATTTTAAGTTTTTAGGATATAATTAGATTATAATATGTTAATAGAGGCTCTATGACTATGATTTAAAATTTGATCCAATGTTGTTACTATTTTTTCAAATAAAGGAAATTGAATTTCAGTGTGAGATACGATGGCCTATGTATTATTAACATTTCAGTACAAGATATCAAATTGTTAATGTATTTTGACCTCATTAATATTATAATAGGAAATTTAATTTTTACCCCTTATGATTTCATGATGTATCACTTAACCTTTCAATTTATTATTTATATTTATTGTGATTACATAAGTTTATCATTTAACTCCTTGTGGCTTTAAAATTTCACTTACACTCATCGTTGTTACAAAAATATATATCTTAGACCTTTAATGCTTTAATAAATATACAATTCTTTATTTTTTTAACTTTTATTTTATACAATTATGATATTATTAAATATAAAATTACTGTTAAAGATTAAAATTAATTATCAAATATATCACTTATAACCCTGACATCTTAAATTTTTTATTTATCTAAAAACATAATTAAAATTAAAAATATTATTTAAGATAAATTAAAGACTTATTAGCTAAATAAATTATTTATGTTAAATTTAATTTTTTATAATAATATAATGATATCAGATGAAAAATAAATGATATCAGATGAAAAATAAATAAAACATAACAATATTTGACTTTAAATTTATTTTCACAATAAAAATACAAGACAATAAAATTCAAACACCTATCATCTAATTTATTGACAAAAAAATTATATCTTGAGTCATGTAATATTTTAAGAGGGATTAGTGATATAATTGTATTATTGTAACATCCTCTATGAGTGACTAATATAGAAAATATCACGTTATTTCTTAAACTATACTTTAACTGTAATAACAATAAAAAAAATATAAACATCGATTATAATACAAACTTTCTTAAGTTATTTGTACATGGTACTAAGTCATGTATATATATTTTATATTCAAACTATTTTCCATCAGATTCTTTTTTTTGTGTGGATACATTGAGGAATTGAACACACAACCTATTATATAACACTTTAAATCACTCATCACTGCTAACCTTAATGGCTTACATCATATTCTAAATTCAAATTATGTTATATTAGTATATTACATTTAGGGGTGCTAAACGAGTCAGGGGCCTTTGGCTCGGCTCGTGAAGGCCTGAGCTTACATGTCTAAAATTGATTGTTGGACTCAGGCTTGAACTTGTATAAAAGCTCGTTTAATAAAAAGGCCTCAGGCTTCAATTCAAAAGCTCGGCCTTAGAGCCTCTCAGGCTTGCCTAATATATTATTTTTTTATTTTTTATTTATTTTTTATACTACTTGTGATAGCCCTCTCTCTCTTCTCAATTCATTTCATCCCATTTTATTAATTAAACAGACTTTTTAAATAATTTTGTTTTATATTATGCTATTTGGATATACATTAAATTTATGAATATTTATGAAATTACTAGTGCTGTTGATTGTATATTTTGTTTGGATAAATTTTTGTTGTCTTATTTTTTTTTAAACAGGCTAACAGGTTAACAAGGCTTTTATTTTTTGTAAATGAGTCAGACCACAGGCTGATATTATATTCGTAACAGGTAATAGGCTAAGGCCAGTCTGACACATTTGAACACAGGCTCGGCCCGTTAAAACAAAAGTTCGGCTCGGCTAGGCTCGTTAACACCCCTAATTACATTCCTAACTACTCAAGACAATTTTTGTGAGTACTGTTCATGTGAACAGTGCAAATTTTTTTTGGGAATTTCAATATTATAATTATTTTAATTAAGATTATTGTGTTTTATAATTAGAGAAACAAAAATTGTGGTGGGAGAAAGTTAAAAAAAAATTATTTTTATTTAAATATGAAATAAATAATAATAATTTTAACTAAAATAACTAATGACAAATATTTTCCCCACGAGCACTAACAATAAGGTTCAAGGTATTACTGTGCATCAGTTGAAAAAATGGCAATCATAAATATCAGATGGTTTGATGTCATGCGTGGCCTTGTTTGCTGCCAGGAAGTCGAGGCTTGGAAAGTGGTGCTCCATTTCTGTCCCAATATTTTAAAAGAAAAAACCTTTCCCACACAATTGTTATAAATTAATTGTGTGTAATAAATCAACAACAAAAATGTACAATTTTATTTCTTAAAAATTTTAAAAAAGAAAAAGAAAATCTTGCACAAAATTTTGTCGCGTGTCTGGGATTCACCCGTAGGCCACTTGCCATAGGAATTTTTGAAATGCAGTTAAGTAGATCACTTTTCTCTAAGTTTGATGAGTGATAAAATGAGTCTTCAGTATTATGATTAGTGAAAGAAATTCTCGTTCACAAGTGAACACATTTTCGAACTGTGTAATGCCACCACCCCAATTGCGTAGCAATTTGAAAAGGCAAATTAAATAAGGATAGCGAGATAGATCACCACAACCCATATACACAATTATCTATATTTTACAGCAAGTTACAAACAAATATTATTTTGAAATGTGATGCATAGCCTATATATATATATATATATATATATATATATATATATATGAAAAAATGAAAATTAAGTGACTGGACCGTCCAATATAGTGCACTAAATATTATAATGGTGTTCTCCCGGGAGAACATAGTTATAATATTTACTATAATTGTGTTCTCGTGAAAGAACTTAGTGCACTGGACCAAATTTTATATACAGTCACTGTATACTCACTAAACCCATATGTATATATATATATAAATATAAACGTTACATTATACTGTTATACGCATAGCTATGTATATAAAATTACAATATAATGAAAAATGAAAGCCAAACATAAAATATTGGTCTTACTCAAACCAATGCCCCATCGAATCAATCTGGTCTTGCGGCCGTAACTGTTTTTGAATTGAATTTGGGGAGAACGATAATGAAAATGGCTGATCTGTGGAAACATATGGAGGCTGAGAAATGAGATTCGTTGAAGTATATACACTGTTGAATGGTTGATTATTTTCATCTTGGTTATGGTGGTGGTGTTGGTGTTGGTGTAGCCTTTGCTCAGAACGTTGTTGCTTTGGAATATTAAGCTTCTCTCCTTCTATCTCTCTATATTTCTGAAGGTAAGATTTTAATGGTTCAACATAATCCTCAAAGCCTAAGGTTGTAATGGCCCAAATGATATCATCCCCATTAATGGTCTTCCTTTTTTCTCTTTGACATTTGTCAGATGCTTCCCCAGTGACAAAACTGATGAACTCTGATACACATTCTTGAACTGTCTCTTTTGCATCCTTTGAGATTTTCCCATTAGCAGGAATCACTTTTTTCATGATTCTACCAACATTGGCTATAGGGAGAAAGCGATCCTGTTCTTTGTTGCTATTGTGATTATTGTTGTTGTTGTTGTTGTTGTTTGTCTTTAAGCAAGGACTTTCAGGGCTTCCTGTGCTGAACCCATTTGGCAAACTGCTATGGCTCTCGTCTTCCATATAGCTCTTATGGGGGTGGGTGGGGGAGGACTGAAATGAGCTTTTAGGATATTAGCTTGTATATTGTATAGAAAAACTGAAAGAGAGGCATAAAAATAGGCATTTATGAAGGGTTAGGACAAGTAAAAATTGAAAAAGAAATTAATGTGTACGGTTGATTTTCACCAGCGAAATCCTCAGGACTCGCTCTAGATGTGGAGCACTTCATGTAACTGCCAGGACCCAATCCAACTTAGATAACACTATTATTGACAACAGAAACGCCGTTTGTTTACCCCTTTGGCATTCTTAATTAAATATATTCTAATATTTGTTGTTTTATTCAATGACCAATTTAATATAGGGAAAAAAGAAGTATCATTTTAAAGGATACAAGCTTGTGTCCTTTTAGATGATTTATACAAAATATGATCGGTCATATTTTGTATAAGTCACTAAAAAAACACAACTTATATCTTTTTAAATGACATACAGTAAACTTTTTAATATATTATCAAGGATAGCACTCCTAGAGGAATTGAATTGAACAACTTTTTTTTTCCCCTAGCTTCTCCGAATTGGATTTAATATATTATCAAGGATATCTACAATGCAAAGTTCTAATCTCAGCTGCGATATTGTTACACATCAAAACTTGGAAATATAGTCAGAAGCACTCTCTTTTCACGTTCGATAAGGGGTAAAAATAAATATCAAAGTTACATATAAATATTATTAAGAATAATAGAAAGCGATAATTATTACAAATATTTTTTAGGAAGGGGTTAACTGTTTAGGATTAATAATCTAGTATTATCACAAAAATATTATTTCATATACATAATATAAAAATTATCAAAGTTTAGGGAGGAGAGTTGTGGACTCACGCCTCTCCCTTTAATCCGCCACTAATGGAGAGCCTCAGGGAGGAGTTCAAGCTTTTTTTTCTTAATTAAAAAGAAACAACTATAGCAATCTTAGATATAAGTGGGAGTTTAACAAAACAAAATGCGTCGTATCAGAACAAAATTAGGAGTACATTTGCTCCTTAATTAAAGTATGTAGATTTTTCATCACTTTACTGAAGTTTGATCGTGCTTCATGCTTGTGTATTATTTTATTTCACGCAGACGCATGGTGCTTCATGCTTCTGAATACAAGCATGTGTATAATTTTATTCCCCCCACATATATACAAAAGCATCGTGTCAGAACCAAATTAGGAGTATATATTTACTCCTTAATAAAAGTATGTAGAAATTTCATCAATTTACTAAAGTTGGTGCCGCGGTTGCTGAATTGCCGGTTGATCCTGCTTCATGCTTGTGGATCCATGCATGTGGATTATTTTATTAACGCGAACATAGGTTGTTTCACGCTTGTAGATACATGCATGTCTATTATTTTATCCGTACACACATAATGAAATATTTTGACCATTGCAAGTTAAAATCATTCTCTCTTTTTTTGGAAATAAGTTAAAATCATTCTTGCATTATAAACAATTTTTTATTAGATAGTTCTATCTCAAAATTTTGTGTTGGGTAGAAAATTTTTAAAATATAAATGGAGTAAGTTATATTTACAAAAAGTTTATTTACAAACTGCATTATGTACTATGGGTAGTATATGCTCAAATAGGATGTACTACCTGTAGTAAATAGTATAGTTTGTAAACAAAAAATTTATAAATATGACACTACTCAATATAATTATGGGTTAAGTGTGTGTCCTTTTAGAGGACACAATTTATGTCCTTTTAGTTTTTAACATTATGTCTTACAAGTAAACATAGTTATAATATAAAAAAAAAAAAATTCTCTTTCCACGTCAGCTGAAGTGACTGAGGAAAGAGAAAAAATAATAATTTTACAAATTATAACTATGTCTTACCGGTAAGACATAGTGTTAAAAATAAAAGGATACAAGATTGTGTCTTTTAAAAGGAGAAACATTTTTTTCATAAAATATATTTATATAATATTATATTAATCAAAATTATTTAATACTTCGTTAGTATATGTCAAGTTTATTGTGATATATACTTTTAAAATATATAATAGTTATTTAATTATATTATTATTAATTTAGTTTTTATAAAATTTGACACGAACAAATAAGATGATTTATATTTACATTTAAGCATTTCAACAGTGGAATTCATAAAATAAATAAATTCATATTCTATATTATGTTATTATATATATATATATATATATATATATATATATATATATATATATAGGGAGGGTTCTTTTGACTCCAGAGTAAGACTTTTAAGTCTTACTCCAAATCTCAGTCGTTGATGGACGGAAATCAACGGTTGTCATTAATAGTATAATTAATAATTAATTAATTAATATAACTTCCTAAATTATAACCGTTGGATGGACGAAAATCAATGGTTAGGATGGAGAGTAAGACTTATAAGTCTTACCCTTGAGTCAAATGATCTCTCTCCATATATATATATATTAGTGGATGTACAATAACTACACTTAAGGATTGGTACGGTCAACTATATACTTTTGGAAGTACATAGTTATAATAAGTATTATAACTATGTACTCCCAGAAGTACACCAGAGAAGAACGGTATACTTCCGGGAGTACATAGTTATAATACTTATTATAATTATGTACTTCTGTGAGTACATAGTGAACCGCACCAATCTTTAGGTGCAATTATTTTACAAACAATTTTCTCACATATATATATATATATATATATATATATGGGGAGGGATCATTTGACTCCAGAGTAAGATTTAAAAGTCTTACTCCTCATCCCAGCTCTTGATTTCCGTTCATCCAACGGTTAAATGTTAACCGTTGGATGAACGGAAATCAAGAGCTGGGATGAGGAGTAAGACTTTTAAATCTTACTCTGGAGTCAAATGATCCCTCCCCTATATATATATATATATATATAAGATTAATATTTCTTATGTTGTAGTTATCTCCTACAACAACAAAAATAAAAATTTCAAACCTGTAGACAAGGCAATATGTAAACTTTTATTTCTAAACAAAATAAAATAACACTTAACAAATAAGTAATTAATAACTTTTTTGAATTACAAAACATGAGTATATATATATATATATATATATATATATATATATATATATATATATATATATATATATATATATATATATAAGGTAAAATCATTTCTACAACCGCTTTACGTACAGCAACGACAAGTATATGATTATGATTCCCCACATTTAATATTTTCATCTTTTGTATGGTTATGATTTTCCACATTTAATACTTTCACGTATATATATGGCAAGTATTTGATTGCTGCATGTACAGCAGCTGCAAAAATGTAAACCCCTATGAGTCTGTTTAGAGTACCTGATAAAGAAGTTATGATAGGATAACTTATCATATCCTACCTTTATCTCTTGTTTGGTGGGTCAATAGGATATGAGTAGCTTATCCTATTATCTCATTTTATCGTATCCAATACATGATTTCTTATCCTATGGGGGAGCTGGGTTAGGATTCAACATGATAGGATACCAATATTGGATACCCAATATATCCCCACGTTACCCAATATGTCCCCACGCTACCCAATATATTTGTATTTATTGTATTATTTTTTGTTTTTCCTTTCTCCTTCTATATAATCTTATCAGATTGCTAATCAGGTGCTCATCAAACACAGGACATGATATAGGCTTATCAGCTACATATCATATCCTACCCTTATCAGCCCCATATCATATCCTACCCTTATCCTATCTTGTCCACCAAATGAGCCATATATATATATATATATAATAAGAAAAGTATTTATTCAGTCATGGGAGATAAAGTTATCTCTAGTGAGCTCAAAATGACGTCGTTTTGGGATTATAAGATTAAAAAATTATAATTATAAAGAGTAATATAACCTTGCAATATGTTAAAATTACAAAAACACCTTGATTTTCGTCCCAAAACGACGTCGTTTTGGGCTCACCAGAGATAACTTATCTCCATTGATTGGAGAAATCCTTTACCCATATATAATAACCGTAACTATCGATGCATCATTTTTTTTAATTATTATCAATTTATAATATGTCTCAAGTGTAATGATTTTTATTATCATGATTTTTTTTTTAAGTTTTGTTAAGGTTTACTTCAAGCTTCATTTTTGCCAAAGACTAAAAAGATAATTGCATGGGGAAAAAAATTAAAATATTACTGTTTTAATAAATAATTATGAATATATAATTATTTTGAAATTATTTATAGATATATAGCATTCATTGACGTCTAAATTAAGCATGAATGGTCACGCTTAAGTTAGGCGTGACTCACAAGGCATTCATACCTAATTTAGGCGTGAGTCACGGGACTTTCGATTTAACTTAGAATTATACCCCTACTTGATAGATCATTGTTACAAATTACAATGACATACTACACACCTCATCGAGAGAAACACATCAATCTCCCTCACTTAAATAGTTCACTTCCTGTTGGTGTTTTTCAGTCTCATTTGATCTCTATATTTATAGATGGTTTTATAAATTTTGTTTTTGGATACGATCTTAACTCGAATCACTTGTAAATATAGGTTCTAGTCCAATTGGCAAGAAATGTGTTGACCTATTATCTATGTTAGATTTTTGGCATTATAGTAGGGTGTTTGCTATTTAAAATAATCTATAATATTTTAGGTTGAATACTTAAATTTACATAGATAATTTCAATCATTTGGAAGAGACTAACTGAGTCATTAGAAATTTTTCTATTTATTTTACATTTTAATTTTTTAAACAATTCATCTTTGATATATTTCAATTTAAATTATAATAGACCTAACCTAATAAATAATGCAGGCCAAGCCTTTGAATATTTAAAAGTAAACCAGATCTATAATTTAATATCCATCAGGCTAACAAATCATATTAAACCCAATTCAGACCATTTACCCTCGTAATTCCATTTAACCAGGCATCATTATCCCTCCGAGATTTTAATATAATTTAATATCCATCAGGCTAACAAATCATATTAAACCCAATTCAGACCATTTTAACCAGGCATCATTATCCCTCCGAGATTTTAATATATTTTTTCCCATTCCGCCAATAGGAATATCCAGGAAGTGCTTCCCATTGTGGGACGCAGTAATTTAGTACAAAAGGATATAGGAGCACGACCCTCCCCCTTTTCTTTTTTATCAAAAGAAAAAAAGGGGAAAAAAAAAGCGATTCGGATGCTCCGTTTTTTGTCGGATAAAAAATATATAAGACACAAAGTACTGGTAAATCTTCAACTTCCAGTATTTGGTATTTGAAATCAATAATATATTGTTCCTGTCCAAATATTCAATAACATAATAACTACCAACTTTTGGTAGAAATCTCACTAAAACTTTGGAGAATCTCAACTATTAGACACCAACCTCTAGATAGAGGAGATCAAAATTAATTACCAAAGGCAAAAAGACGAATGCGTGAATGCCTAACTATAATAATACATAAATAATGGTGGAAGTTCAATTTTACAAGAACTTTGAGCAGCCAAAACCAAAAAATCACCTAATTCTCTTGTTGAAATCTCATCCGCGCTTAACCAATAGCATACTTGAGTGTCTCCAACTCTTTAGGCCGCCACATGGACTTCTGGACACATAAAAAGCCCTCCTTATCTTTAGAGTAAGTCATGCGAACCTCCCACTGCATCGACTTCACCATGTTCTCAAGCTCGTTAATGATCTCAACAGTGTCCCGGACAATAAGCTTTCCCTCGGGCCTGAGAATCCGATCAACCTCAGCCACTACCGCTTCAAAATTGCACCTGCGTGAGCAATAAGCATTAGCAAAATGAGACAAACAGAGATTGTTTCAAATCTGATAACCAAGATTTTGCTCGTGATGAATGAGAAATGAAATATTTGTTTGCACCTTTTCTTAAGCTTTGAAAACAGATGATCTGCATGGAGTAGATCATAGGACCTTGGATAGGTGCTAAATGATTCACACCAATCATGATATATGCCAAAAAGACCTCGTTCATAAATAATGGGAAGAGTGTCTGGGGAATCTACTGAAACCACATTCATGACCCAAATATTCAAATCCTTCAAAGCTGCAGCAAACCTAGAACCCAAGAAACAGAGGAAGATGTCAAACACAGGGCTATAATAGCAGGTTAATATTATTCAGCGTACCACTGGAAACAACGAATTTTGCTCACCCTCCATAGACTGATCTCATGTCCATGACATTCCGCACATTGGACCATTTAATTCCCATCCCATTTAGATAAGACTTGGAAACTACACGTTTCCAGTGTTCATAATCAGCAATAAAATCTTCAGGGGCAGGCTTTCCATAAACTCCAACCTGAGAATTTGTCAACCAGTAAGGTGCTTTGGTCAGTCTTGCTGGCCACTGCTCTGGCCAATGTGACCCACGTTCTGTGGAACTCACTGGCACTTTGTGCATGCAAGCTTGCAATGGAATGTTCCTGCGACCAAAGAGATAAGAGAGCAGCCATATGTTATACGAAAACAATACTTTCACACCTTAATTGGGTGTATAATGTAAGCCAATCCAATCCTAGAACAGGGGAACAACATGTATGTGGATCCTAATTCCTAAGGATCAATCCCAATGCAGGAAAAGTGGTGTAAGGAAAAAAAGTACGAGAATATCAGTGTCGTATCCTATAACACCACAGGCCTATTGAAACTTTAACAGATACACTGTAGTTTATAATGAAAACACTGTTCATTTGTAGCAAAGTCCAACTTTATCAAAGTGCCACATGAGGCTAGGTTTGTTTGCCGTTGTTTATATTATGGTTCATACATATGTTCCTTAGCGGAAAAATAAATAAATCTGCAGCTGTTTTAAAGGAAATTTTATTATGTTATTACAGTCAAAGATACATATCAACAATTAACTCAATCAAAAATTCCTTTTTTCTGTTTTGGTTTTAATTAAAAAAATTTACTAAATGTCTCAGATACGAAAGAAATACCATGCTGCATTAGGATCATCGGAATCTGGACATATAGGAGGCTGATTCTTAGAACGTTTCTCATAACACTCATTAGTAGTTGGCTTCTTGTATACAGCTATACCAACTCCATTAAGTTTATCCTTGCTGATGGACACAACTTCCCAGCACATTGCTTTTGTCAGTGCCTTCATTTCTGCAAATGAATATATAAAATGTCAGAATTAACATACCAACATTAAAAAGATTAAAAGAGGCAGACAATATTCTAGATATCATCTACCATTCCATATTTCAACATCTTCGGGAAGCTTCTGATAAATAGGAGTGGCAGACCATACAAAGAAACCACCAGGTCGCAATAATCTATTCAGCTCCAGAAGAAGTTTACCACCTGCACTAATACAAACAGTAAGCTTCAGACATAAAAGCCAGTTGCACTTAGATGGATTTTACGTCATCAATACACACACACATGTATATATAAGGAAGTTGTCTTATAATCCAAATGCCCAAACGAAGAAGGTAAATTACCAAAATGCTACATCAAAACTTCCTACTTGTATGAACAAGAATTCATCTAATCACCCCAATAAAAGTTATGTCATTGAAATACCTTCTATATGCCATGGAACTCTACAGCGTGCACAATGAACTATATCAAATACTTTCCCAGGGAAAGGAAGCCTCTTTGTGCCCATCACAGCAGATATAGCAGGAATTCCCCTTTCAAGTGCAAATTGTACCTGAGCTTCATGTTCATCTTTTGGTGCCAATGACATTGTAAGTACATCTCTTTCAAAGAGAAAGCCACCAAAGCTGGCAACACCACATCCAACATCTAATATCACACGTGATTGTTTGCCCCAAGCGATATCAGGCACAGACTGCATAATCAAAGTTCCTTGTATTAAGTTAAATGCTCAACAACATCAGGAAAACATATCACATAACCACATAGCAATTCTAGGATGGAAGCATAAAAAATTTCTCATTATTATGCCTAATAAGTTTTTGTATTGCTAAAGAAATTCATTTGTACAAGTTTAAATGATTCTGATATCTCTGTATTTGTTAAATTTTGGTTGTCTCCTAGTGCAGTGTGCACCATATATGCATTCCTACCTACCTGATCTTGCCCAAGTTAGACATAAGAAAATTGTCATCTTTACCATCCAGTAGCACTCTTTCTCCTATTGGCAAAGAAGCCCAATGTAGAACCTCAAGTGCCATAGTAGTAATACTAACACTTCTCTTAGCTAGTTTACTATTTGTTAGTCTCCTAATGAAATCATCTTGTGTGCAGTTCCTACCAATTTGGGTTTTCCCCTTCCTAGGGACATTAAAAAAATAATTACAGTTTCTTATTTCATGTCAAGATAGCAACAAAAGTTTTCTTTGCTCCGGATATCATATTAAAGTGAAGTGTTAGACAATTCTGCCCTCTACAAGAAATGCCAATGTAAGATCAACAAGATTTCTGCCCTCTACAGGATGGATTTGCCATCAAAGTTCTGTTTTTCTTTTTCGGGTTTTGCAAATGTGTGCCCTTAGGGCACATGTTAATGAATTAAAATAGAAACTTTTAAATGAAAAAGTAGAAACATTTAATATCTTGAAAATCAAAAATACATTTAATACTTTTTTTCTAAAGTAATCATGACACTTAAATGTAGGGTATTAAATGGGATACACCTCAACAAAACCTTTTTTTCCTATTTTAATAATAACACATTTTTCAAAGGCTGTAATTTTGACAAGATTTTGCCTCTAAGGTATATGACTAGATAGTAGATAGGATGAAATTTTCTAAAATTGGATGTAAAACTATATATATGTTATAAATACTTGAGCAAATGCAAGTTAAATTGATATTAGTATCTGTTAGGTATCAGGTAGATAAGAGAAGAAATAAGGAATTCAAATACTACAACTGAAATTAATTTCTATTGACTTCAAACAGAATCAGTGTGAAATACACTGGATTGTCACAAATGGGAAGAAAATGGAAATTACAGTCTACACTCTACAGAAGATGGAAGAAATAGAATAATAGCAGAACAATGGATTAAGGAAATTTTAACAAGAAAACCTTAAGATAAATTCAGAGCAATTCGAGAAGCTCTGATTTCTCCCAAGTCCAAGTCTAGTCCCACCTAACCTACTGAGAATCCTCCCCTCTATTTAAGCTCCTTGCATGCCTTTTGTGGTGTGACTCTCGCTTGCTCATCATTTCCCTTAACAGCATGGTGTGCGTTTCCTCAAACCGTTTGGCATAAATCCTAAATATTCCCACCTTATTGCTTTTATGCTGATTCAGCATTTGAATGATTACCTATATTGCCCCTAAGTCTCCTTCTAAAATAAACTTTGAGTGTAGGAACGTATCAGTATCATATATAGCAATTATGTCCAGATACTCCGATTCTGTTTTGCTCTGTTTCTTTTAAAATCAAATTTGAATTGTAGATGGAGAGATTAATAAATATACAAATAGAAGATCGGTTACGAAGTTATTTGATGAGAAATTTGCTCAAGGGGAGAAAAAATAGAACTGGCAGATACAGTATTTGTACAACACATGCAATATGGATTTCCTGAACATGCACCAAAATGTTATCCAGATCTATACATACGGAATCAACAGTAAAAGAAACTAATAAAAGTCAACCTTGACAAGAAATATATGTGTGAATATGTATGAATATTTTACACACGCACATGTACATGTGTGTGTATATTACCTGTTGTATAGTGTCAATGTAATGAAGTGCACCATGTTTGAATTGAGTTCCACCACCAGGAAAAGTAAGGTACTCGCCTGTAACTTTCACCCAATTCTGGTGCCCCTTATATTCAGCAAGCTTAGTGTGTGGAATATTGTAATACCATATCTGCAGGAAAACAGTTTATTATTTTATGAGAGAATAAACTGTTAAACCAAGAATGATACTTGACAAGCATTTTGATTTCTACCTTCTCTCTGCTTTTGGGCCACTCAATTGGGCGTCTATATCCTTCAGGAAGAGAGACAAGGCAGGTAGGAGGTTGTTCCGGACATTGCCTTTCTCGATGTTCATAGTGTTTAGTAGTCGGAAGATTCCTAATCGCTTTCAAGTTGTCGAGGCAAGGGATGTAGTCAGGGCCAGCAGTGACATTGCAGAGTTTCCAATTGTACACAGTAGATTGCTTGGAGGACTCTCGAGACTCCTTTTCATTCTTTGACTCTGAAGCCTGAGTTGACCAAGAACCATTTTGAGTGGTATTTTCATTTAGAAGCTCTGACTGGGCCCCAGAAGGGTATACCTCATTTGAATTCTGGCTGTTGGCATTGTCATCTGTTTTCTTCTCATTAGAGCTTTCAGCAGACTCTTGATTACCACTTTGTTCCACCTTTTCTTCAGTCCTATTATCTGTTGTTTCACTTGAGTCATCAGATTTGTTTTCACTTGGGTCATCAGATTTCTTTTCACTTTCATCTGAATCAGACTGCTTGTTATCATTTGATTTAGATTTCTTTTCACTTTCATCTGAATCAGACTGCTTGTTATCATTTGATTCAGATTTCTTCTCGCTCTCATCGAATTCGGGTTTCTTCCCGCCCTCATCCGGATCGGGTTTCTTCTCGCCCTCATCAGAATCGGGTTTCTTCTCAGACTCATTTGATTCAGTATCTTCTGTCTTAGTATCTTCAGAAGACTTCTCTTCAGGCTTTACGTCCGATTTCTCTTCCTGTTTTTCTGGCACATCAGAGTTGTTTTCAGAGTTGACACTACTGTCCCCCTTGGTTGCATCCTCAGGCAGGTCACCCGGATTATCTTCAAACTGTCGAGTATTGCTATTAGTGGTTTCAGTTGGCTGTTCTTTCATCTCATTCTTATTCTCCTGAGACACATCTACATTTTGCACAGGAACTACAGAGGATGATGTCATCATCCAAACCCCAACCAAGCATAGAGCCACAAACACAACAATAGACACTGTCGAACAGTAATTCGAAGATCGTTTATTGTCTATTCTAGTATATTTCCCTTGAGCCATGTTGTCAGAGGGCGCAATGATTCACAGATAGTTTACACCTGCTCATGAACCAAACAAAAATTAAACACCACCCCCAATGTGGATAACTCGTGGCAACACTTAATTGCCAATATAAAGGCAGTTTAGAAGGCAAAATACATGACATGAACTACCAAATCACAGGTTCACCAAATTTGCTTGTTCAAAGACTAGTTACAAAAATCAAATACATAATGCTCACGATTCTGGGATGATTTATTCCAGCGTCCAATCAAATATATAAGGCGTTTGAATTTTCTCCTATTCCTTAACACATGACAATGTCAAGTTATGAGAGAGAAAAAACACAAACTACTTCCATGCAGCAAGGACGACCTCTACTCTTTCTCTCTCAGAACATGAGACCGTCGTGTTCTTAAGTAAAACGACCAGATCTAATTAATTCATCCGAATCATGTAAGCTACTAAAACAAAATAAACGGATCAGAGAGTTTTACACTTCAAATGGCAAGACAATCAGTGAAATTCAACCAAAAAGACTCTCACATAAACCATTGCCGCGAAATGCGAAACAACAACAAATTTGAACAAATTCAACGGATTGAAAACAGATAAAAATAAAAAATAAAGGAAACAGAGACATGCTCAACGAGAAATCAACAACACTCACATAGATCTATACTGCCAAAAAAAAAACTGAACCAATATCATAAACATTACGCAATCACAACGACCAATGCAGTCAAAAAAGATAATCGATAATGCGTGATTAGCACAGGAAAGAAAAAGGAAAATGTTCAATTCATAGAAGCAAAACCACGAGGTTAGAAGATCAAACGAACAAAAGCGATATTTCGGTGAATGCGTGAGTAGATCTGAATAGCAGGAAATGATAATTCATTTCACGTACCTATGGCTAATAGTAAAGAAGCGGATCTGAGGCGGAAGAGGAAGTTGTTATCTCTCCATTGTGTTGCACGCGAGGAAGGGAGAAAGAGAAAGGTGCGAATGAAAACTTGGATTGAGAAGGCAAGGCGAAGAGTAAGGGTTGATTGATATAATATAACAGCTTAAGTGGGGTAGACTAGCATTCATCGATTTGGAAAAAGATATTGAATCGGTGTAAGAAAAAAAATAATGATAGTGAGAGGGGGTAAATGCCAAAGGAAAAAAAACAGAGACTAGGAGAGAGTGACGGCCGCATGAAAGACGTGAAACCGCTGGGGTAATTTCCTTCTTCTTTTTTGTAAGAGAATTTCCTTTTTTTATTATATATGGGAGATAATTGACAATTTAACGACATTTTTGGGAGATGATTGACAATTTAACGAATTTTTCAACAGAACTTATTTCGTTAATAAAAATAAAAATAGGAAAAAAATGTTTCTGTCTCTATTGTTTTGTGTAGGTTCATTATAAAAAAATATATATATATTAATAAGATCTATTTATTTTTATGTGAATATGATAGAAATTTTTTTTTCTGCAGCAAAAATAAAAAATTAAATTCATAAAAATAAAGTTTTAATGTTTTTACAGTGAATAAATAACTTATCTACATTCACTTCCAAAACGACGTCGTTTTGAGTTAAAAAATTATAATTAGAAAGATTATTATAACCCTGAAATAAATTATAATTACAAAAATATCTTATTTCTGCCCGAAAATAATGTCATTCTGAACTCAATATAAATAACTTATCTTGTTTATAAAAAATACGAATCCTAAAAGTAATACTCAAAATATAGCATTCAGTGTCTAACATTTTATTTAAAAATAAATAAATTCTATGACTTAAGTTTCGTGCAATGTCATTCCAATAAAATTAATTAGTCTGTGTTTAATCAAACAGCAGAATTTGTTTTTCACTTTTACAATTTAGATGGAACAAAAATAGCGACATTCGTGATTTGTTTTTGTAAAGCGTATTATGTAAAATAGCATTTCTGTTTTTGGAAATAATATATTTTGTTACATGATATCTCTTAAGCTGTAATAATTATCTAATAGGTTATATGTTTAATTCTTCAATATATAAAAAAAAAAAAAACGATAACTCAGCAATTGACAATTGGTAAATTGAATTGATTGTTTCATTCATGACTAAAGGGATATTGGATTAGGATTTTAAAAGATTTTTTTGAGATAAATTTTTTTATAGATTTTAAAAGACTATGTAAAATTAAAGGGACTTTAAAGACCTTTTTTACAATCAAAATCTCATAAGATTAGATTTTAATAGAAACTAAAAAAAATTATTTGATCTAATTTCTACTTATACAAAAAAGAAACTAAAAAAAAAAGACTTCCTAAATAAGCACGTAGTACCGTAGTATTGTAGTTAACCAAGTTATCTAATGTACATTACTTCCTATACATCCAGAAATTCCAGTTATTTTTTTTTTATATAATAAACATCTTTTAAATGCTTTTAAAAAATGGAGGAAAGGTTAATAAAAGAATCAAAAGTACAAAAATGAATAAAAAGTATTTTAAAAAATATGTATACGGCGTGAATTAAGCGTAAAATATAACTACATGCAGTGTCAGCAGAATCTACTGGTAACTATGATTCAAGAAACTACTGTAATAATTTTTGTTTGCAAATCAGTTATAAATCTCATTTACTGTATAAAAAAGTTTTACATTGTCTGTGGGCGAGTGCTAATGCTCTAATCAAATTTCATTAATGTTTTTTTGTTTTGATAAACTATATCTATTCGGATAATATATTCGAAATATCTTATCAATTGTTCCACATTTGCGTGGTAAGTTTGTTCATGTTCAAATTTAATTTGATATCCCATTAATCAGAATTGGAGAGTGGATCCTTCATATGTGATGTGAATTCATAGGTAAATTAATAGCGATGATTTTGTCCTTCCTTATTTTAATTTTCTTTTCTTTTATTTTCCATTATCATTAATTTGTCCGCGATGAAAATCATTCCACTTAACGTAATTATGTTAAATAACCCATTACACTATTTTCTCATAATTTCAACTTTCTTTCACTCTATTCAACTTAATCTCGGATTCATCCCAGACTAATCGCCTAATCGCGAAATAATAAATCGATTTGAATATTTCTAAAAAATAAAAATAAATTATAACCTCATTAATTTAGAACGATAAATGAATATATTCATGGATCGTGAATCATGATGGTCAACCCCCAGTTGCCATTAATGCTACTACGTGACTGGAAGCAGGGATATACAAAATCTCCGCACTCTTAAAAATTAGCAGGGATTACCTACAACGAGAGGATATTGCAGGAGGGTGGATATTATAATTATTCTTTTATGAGTATTTGCAAATTTATGAAACATATTACAATGATTGTCTCTCTCCTTTTTATATGTTATAAAAATAATATTTTATTAATTTATAGTGAATGGATTCACAGTAATAAATATTATTAAAATATATAAATTTCATAATGATTGTTTATGTAGTATTATTATAAAAGATATAGCTAAAGTCGGTGTGTTATTGAAATATTCTTGTACTTTTATATGAATTTTAAATTACTAATCGAAATTTTGATACGCAATTTTAAAGTTTATTTTATTTTATTTCTTAAATTTCAAATTTTAATTCTTACGTACCCACAAAATCTATTGGTGAAGGTCATAAATGAGTGATGGTAAGTAGAATGACAGAGGAGGCAGCTGAAGCATTATCCACTCCCGCCTCCTCATTCCCAACAAGAAATGAATAATGTAGTATCAAAAAAATGAATAATGTACGAATAGATTTTTTATTTTTTATGAGGTAGGTTATATTCACAAACTCTCATAAATTACATTAAGTATGACCGGTCATAGTTTAATCATGTAGTGTACGACCGGTCATACTTAGTGTAATTTGTAAAAAAAGTTCGTAAACGGTTCCTATCCTATTTTCTAGATCCAAATTTATGTTATTAAAAAGTTTCATTGTTTATCTAAATATTTAAAATATAAAATTGCAAACATTCTGAACTAAAACTATAATTACAGTCAAATATTTATTGCCTATTTTCTCTACAATTACCATTAACCTCAAACTATATTAATTACTACTCTTTTTATTTTAGTAAAAATTAAAAAAAATTGTTTGGCATTTTAAATGACAGAAAGTTATATCATTTTAAGAGAGATACAGACACAGAAAATTTGAATTTTAAATTAAAAAAACACTCACTTTCTCTCCCATGATTTCCATTTTTCTGTGTCTATCTCTCTCCTAAAATAACATAACTTATGTCATTTAAAATGACAAACACCAAACCCTTAAAAAAATATGTATTTATGCATACACCGGTAAATTAGTTTTCTATATTATTATACAGAATTGTCTATTTTAGTCTTTTTATTTTTATTGTGTATTTTATATGAAAATATTATTGCAAATGTATTTAATATTTTTATTTAAAAAATAAAGCTAAAAATACTTATTACTGTTATTTCAAATTTTTAACATCGTAATATATAATTATATAATTATAATTTTATTATTTTAAGACCGAATTTCCCGTGTGAAAGGCGGTGATACTCATTGATTATGAACATCCGGCGTTATGTGTCCCACACTCAACAAACAAACGGCGTTTCTGTTGATATTTGATTAAATAAATAAATTAAAGTGAGATGTTGGCCAATGACCTTACAATTTAGGGGGGAGGGTAGGATATTCGAAACAAAAGGCCTATTTTTTTTTATTTTTGTATGCTTAGTTGCATAGTAAGATACAAGCAACCGACAACGTTAGATCCAATTGCACTAAAAATCTCAACCCTTCGTGGTAGGGTTGGCAAAAACGAGCCAACCCGTCGGGTTGGCTCGCAACCCGTCCTAAATGAGTCGGGTTGGGTTGGCCTAAATGAGCTGTCAACCTGATACAACCCGACCCGATACAACCCTAACCCAAACGAGCCAGCCCTCGGGTTAAACGGGCCAGCTCGCGGGTTGGGTATTTTTTTTAAATACAAATAAAACGTTTGGTTTGAGCGTTTTAACGCTGAAGACCAGAATCTTTTTCTGGCATCAGGGCGCT